GAGGCGGCTGCCCTGCCGTGGTGGGTGAAGGGAAAGTCTGGACCTCGGTGGGCCAGGAGCCAGGGTGAGGAGCGGCCCCAGCCAGGGGAGATCTCACGATGGCCCCGGCTGGGCCACAGAGACCACCCCGCCATGACCCAGTGCGGCTGTAGGCGCGGGACTCTCAGGAGTAGGAGGACGGCCTCGGTGGCCTGGAGTCACGGCTGGGCGGGGACAAGCCCCACCTCACCGCAGGGAGCCGGCGCAGCAGACGGCGGCTGGGCGCTCAGCCCCACGCGACTCCCCTCTCCGTTGCAGAGTGATCTCCAGGCGGGGACGGGGGCCAACCCCCGGGCAGATGCCTGCAGCTCTCGCCCCGGCCCGACCAGGGAGGCGCTTCCTCCTCTGGCCTGCCCTCGCCAGGGGCCCTAGCCCGGTGTGCCGTGGCCGGCCCCGCGAGCGCAGCGGCCAGGGCCAGATGGCCAGCTATTCCCGGCGCGGCTCTGCGAAGGGTGTCGGGCCAGGGGCCTGTCAGCGTCGCTGCTAGACCGCGCCTAGCGCATCGGGCCAGGCGACCACGTCCGTCAGACAGCGTCCTTGTCCGGCGTCCCTCAGCGCCACGCTTGGTCCGCGCCCCCAGGCCCCCACCACTGGCGTGGCCCCCCACGGAAAACGCACAACGTGTGTTCTGGTCGTTGCCGAACGCGTCGCCGCCACGCCGGCAACAACCCGCCACCCACCTCCACGTTTCCTGGGCCCGAGACCGGCAGATGAAGATGGATGCCATCATTGCGGTGCGTGAAGATGATGGTATGGTGGCGGGTGATGAGACGGGAGGTAGATGGTAGGTGAGTGGTAGTGATGAAGATGTGGTCATGTTCTGGTTGGGGCGTGATGAAGATGATGTGTGATGGAGGTGGTTAGTGCATAACAGTAAGATGATGATGATGATGGATGGCAGTTGAGCAGTAATGACCCAGGTCGATGATTGCAAGAGGAAGATGGATGATGATGAGGTGGTAGTGATAGCAGTAAGATGACGATGATGGGATGGGCAGTGACAGTAATAGCCACATGGCAATGATGAAGATGAAGATGATGATGTGAATATAGATGAAGATGATGGCTGATGGTCTGCGATGGTGGTGGGTGATGGAAGATGATGGTGATGATGAGGGTGGTAGTGATAACATTAAGGTGATGATGATGATGAGGGCGGTGACAGTAATAGGTGACAGGCAATGATAAAGATGAAGATGATATTTGAGTGATGTGATGATGAGGTGGTAGTGATAGCAGTAGGATGGACAATGATGATGATGGCGGTGACAGTAATAGCCACAGTGGCATGATGAGAAGATGAGATGATGATGGTGAATATAATGAATGTGGATGGAGATGCTGGCAGTGATGAAGGTGATGACGAAGATGATGTGAGGATGAATGATGGCTAACCAGGGGGGACCGTCCAGGGCCCTCCCACCGCAGCCCGGGATCGCATCCAGGTGCCTCTCAGCCTCTGCGCCCTGGCCCGGGCCACAGCCCTCCCCTCCTTCCCGGCTCCTAAGCAGAACAGCCCAGTTCCCAGCCTGGGGCTTCTGCTGTGAGCGTCCTGCCTTCCCCGACCTCACAAGCCCCCTCAGCCCGGCTCTCCCCGCCTCCCCGCACCAGCCCCGTCCCAGGGGAAGTGCCA